AAGGGGTCAGATGGGAAGATCAGAGGAACTGGAAGCAAGGAAGGAATCCTGACATTGGATTACTGTGATTATTTCATACTATTTCACTGAATTTCCCAAGGACCTTATGAGGTAGGTATTGCTATTCCTGTTTAGAGATGAGAAGACTGAGGTTCAGAGAGAGAAGTTAGCTATACACTTAGAATCACATTAATGGTAAGTGCTAACACTCAGGTCTGATTCCGTTGCCTCTGAAAATTAAAAAGACCCCATCACAAACATACAATATCAAGCTCATTCAGAGCAAGATTGTGCACAGAACCTGGGGTTTGGAGTTGTAATCCTGCCTCTTTTCCTGATTTACTGTGTGACTTGGAGTCACCCACTGCCTTTGGGAGCCTCAAGATTCTCTATTATAAAAAGGGCATGTTTTCCTCTTTTGGAGACTGGCGGACATTGGCCAAGCCCCCAGGGGAGTCATTCCTGCGGCCTCACTATCTCTGGGTTCATTGTCCAACTTGCTCGTGTGCCAAGAGGCACAGAGAGTGTAAGGGAACACGTGGAGTCCTTGAGTGTGTGCCGGGAAGTGTCTGCAGGGCTGGCAGCTGATTGGTGTACAGCCTTGCTGAGCACCTTCCAGCATAAGGTCCCTGAGGGCGTTGGGGTCACAGAGAAGAGTCAGACAAGTTGCCTACTTGTGGAGAAGTTGGGAAAAACCAGGGCCTCTCATAGTATGAGGAGACTGAAGAGGTCCAGAGCCTAGACATAGGATATGGGAGGTGAATGTCAAAGATAGGGTTAAGAGAAGCTTTGCAGACCAGCCAAGATGAAATTAAAATAGAGGAAACAGGTATCACTAGCTGTCATCTCTAACAACGCCCGTAGATCTCAAACCTCAACCTAACACATGGAGAGTAAAATCAGTTTTCCAACTTCACTTTAAAAAAAAAAAAGATTTATTTATGCATAAAAGAACTGGGGTACAGGCCAGAGATCAAGGGGGTTTGATTCACCAGAGTGGGGAGCAGAACAGGTGTATTGAAATATGCTGCTGGGGGCAGCAGTAGGCAACAGAAGTCTGCTGGGCCATGTGGGTCAACTCCCTGGCCAGGGATCGAACTCGTGTTGCTGCAGTGGTTGTGGAAAGCTTCATAGTGCTGCACTTTAACCCCTTATGTCACCAGGGAGGCGCTATTTTTATTTTTTTATGCATACAAGAACTGGAATACAGGTCAGAGGTGCAAGGGGTGAGAGGATTCACCAGAGACAAAGTGGGGAGCAGAACAGGGAGATACACTGAAATATACTGCTGAGGGAGTAGTGGGGGAGAGAGAAGAGATCTGCTGTGCCATGTGGGTCAGCTGCCTGGCTGGGGATAGAACTCATGCTGCAGTGGCTGACAGTACTTGATAGCATTATGTCTTAACCCCTGCACCATCAAGGCCCTGAATCTATTTTTGTGTGTATTTTAACTTGCCATGTGTCTGTATCTGTAGGCATATACATGTATGCTATATACGTGTATGGTCCACACGTTGTGTGTTTGTGTCTGTGGCTGTTGCTACCTTCCTGTCCCTCTTCAGGTCATCGATTTTCTGATGCTGAGAAGTGGAAGGAACTCTGAGACTTTAGGTGATTTTCTTCCTCCCTGTGTCTTAGCTTCTTATATAAAAGAGGGGCTTAAACTCCATGGTCTGAAAGGACTCTTACAAATCTGGCCATCCTTAACATCATGGTACAAGAACATTCAGCAAGGGTCTAAATAATCAAGAGCTTAACATTGCAGTAACAGGGACTGGAATTAAGTATTAGGGGAATAGGGCCCCAGACCGATGCACACTGACCTCAGGAGAGACACAGAGCTCATGGTATGAAGCAAAAACTGTTGGACTGCATGGACCTGGGTTACACGGGGCACATTATCTCTGCACGGGGCAGAGTCTCCAGACCGGCAGAAAGGGATAACCCCATCCTAACTCCCTGTAGAGCTCAGAGGCAGAGGGACAGACGAGCGGCCATCCAGGAGACAGCACTGGGCGGGAAATGTCCTCAAGTCCTACTGTGGCTCCTGTAGGCCCCTGATAAGTAGGGCACCCACCCCGATAGCCTCATGCCTGCTTATCAGAGTGCTGGGCTCAGACTGTCCTCTAGCCCACACCCTGATCTAGCACCCCCAGCCAGGGCACACAGCCACAGGATCTCTGGCCAACTGAGATATCTCACTCCTCTACCTCGAGGACCCCTGGGCTTTGCCCATGCTCACCTTTGAACTCGGTCCCCAGGGACTGAGCATAAGTCTAGCAATGAGTGGCATGAAGTTCAACTCTGGAGCGTGAAACTTTTACCCCAGCAATGTCTGAACATCTGTGGCTCTCCAAGGTAACTCCACAGGAAGGGAAAAGGAACAGGAAAAGAGGGTCACAAGGAGGCAGGATATATGATAATCCCTCATTTGGTTAAAACACTAGGTTTCTTGCCCGTATTTCTTGCTTGAGCCTTACAACTTGGGGAGGGATGTATGACCACCAAAGTTCACACCGTGGCCTCAGCTTGATCACATGAAAACCAAGACATGGGAAAGAAGTTTCTCTATGTGCCTCTGCTCTTGGCATTTGAGACAAGTGCCAAGTAACCCCCTCTAACCACCTCTAAGAGGTAGGAATGGACGGCCCCTGTTGTACGCCTCAGTCACAGTTGGGGGTTGGGCCTGGCACCTTTGAAACCGTGTCCTCTCAAAGACCTCAAGCTTTTAGAAGTTCAACATCAGGGCTTGCCCATGGCCTTTAGTGTGCCCTGTTGGAAGGGTAAGATGGGAAAGAACTTGTGTGAACCCCTTCTTTGGTCCAGAACTAGCTCTAAGTGCTTAGTTAGCAACTAATGAATGGCCTGGATCTTCCAATTCTGTGAAATGTGGCTTTTTGTAAGAGACTGGGGGCGGGGGCCGGGAGGGGGTAGTGTTTCACAAGAGAAGGGGACTTGCCTAAGAACTACAGTTTTGTGTGCTTTCCCTGGTCAGTCTCTCTTGTCCTTACCACAATGGACTCAGCTTCATGTCATTTCACATGAGTGCTTATTTAGCCACGATAGAGACATACCAGCAAATAAACTGAGCCCCTATGAGTATTTGCTTAATGTGAATAATCACACAAATCAATGAGGCCATAAAAGGGAGATTTAAATTGTTATTTTATCTCCAGGCATGAAAACAACCCCCACTATCTCAAATTATACAGTTGAGCTTCCCATATTTGGGGAAATTGCAGGGGTCAGCAGGATTATTGTGGGGGAAACTTGCCCTGGGAAAACCACTGCCATGATCAAGGTGTCTCCCCTGCCTGGCTAGTATAAACTTTCTTTTTAAACAGGGGGTTTAATTTGCCAGGGATTACTTCCCTACAGGAAGTCCCTACAGGAAGTTCCCTACAGGAACAAGGAAGGATGATTATGGCAAACAGAGGCCGAACATGTTCCAAAGTTATGTGGCAGCAAGAATGGAACAATTCAAAGAGCCAAAAGTTTGGGCCTCTCTTCCCACTCCCCATCCTGGCTCATCTGCAGAGGGGTAAAACTGCTCCCCAGCACACAAACCAAATTGTCTAGGATAAGGAAAGCGGAAAAGGAGAGAGCAGAGAAACAGACATGTCTCCCAGAATAAGGGTGTAAATAACAGACTCTGCTTTGTGAAGACCTTATCTTGGAGTCTCTCCTTCCTCAGAGACAGAGAAGTGAATAGTGTCAGATTCTCACAAGTGCCTGGAACGTGAAGAACAGGCCCCTACCTATTCTTATGCTAGCTCTCACAAGAGTTTGGGATTTAGGTGCCCTCAAATCTCCCAGCAAAGATGGACATTGGTCTCTGCTTGCCCACATCTGGCCTCTTTGGGTCCTGCACAAACAGAGGCTGAGACCCAGGGACAGAGTTTTAGGCCAGAGCTTACCCCCATAAAGATCTACAGACATTAAGCTATCAGGACTTTCCCTGCTTTGTGAAGATTCAACTAATATTCCTACTACCAAAAGCAAAATAAAACATCTCCATCGTGGCCCTCACCAGCAATTAAGCCCTGAGGTTATTCTTTCTCCTGCCCAGCAGATGACAGCTTCATGAGGATGGGCATGAAGTGTACCAGAAAAAGCCTAATAGGGAGTGAGGTCAGTGACTCCCCTTCCAAGGAGTCCAGCAGGGAAAGGGTTAAGAGGCAGGGCCTTCTAGAACCCTGAAAAAATACCCCACCCAGGGGAGGGGCCAGTGGATTTAAAGGCAAACAGCTTGAGTGAGAGGCAGGGACAGGGCCTCCCTCCACCCAAAGACCTCCAGCCTGCAGTTCCAGCTCCAAGTAAGTAGCCCTCCTCTGATCTGTCTGCTTATTAGTCTGCCCAGGGGGAAACTTCTTTATGTGATCTCTGGCTTGTTTAACTCTGGCACTTGGTACCGAAGGAGATCTCAACAAATGCTGGTTCTGCAGGGCTCTTTAAGTCAAGTCCTCTTCCCCAAACCCTCTTGCCCTTCCCTTGACCACTGAATCAAGATGCTGACTCAGGAGTGCAGGCAAGGAAAGGGGAATCCTGTGTGTCCAGTCTTGTCCTGCTTTTGCCCCAGCTCCTGGCTCTCCCTGTCCCCAGCACTCTCCAAGCCATGCTTCCTGTGCCACTGCAGGGCCCTGGCCGGGATATCATCATATACTGTAAGTTTGCGATGAGACACTACAGTATAGATGATGTACTAGCCCGGGTACCACCAGCTCCGGAGTCTGATCAAAGGGGGCCGAAGGGCTCTTGTAAGCCCGCAGGAGTCACGCTCAGCCTGTACAGCTTGCTAACCTGCAGGGCACTTGGGAGTGGCGAGGAAACCGTTACCATTACTGAGTTTAGTAATGGTAACGGTTCTCTTGCTGCGCCCAGAAAACGTGCCAAGAAGTATACTCAGGAGTGGAGCAGGCTACTGAAGGGGAGGTGGGGTGGAGGGGAGGAAATTGCTAAGTATCCTCTTTCCCCTTTTAAATAAATAAAGATAACAAGAATGCTTGTTCTTTAACTTTATTAATGTCTGAGACTGGGGAGAATGACGGGGTGGGAAGGATTAAAGAGTTGGGCAGCAGGTGAGAGGCACTATCTCACCCAGGACACATGTCCCTTACACAGCTTCAAAGAGGAGAAAGATCTTCTTTCTGCTAACAGTTGGCAACTCAGGGAGAAAGCCTGGGACCGAAGCCAGCTGGGAGCAGAGTGGTTCTGTTTCCACAAGGGGTCAAGTCTAAGATGTAAGTAGCGAAGGCCCCAGGCAAGAGATTACCTGGGAACTGAGCTTTAATTGGTTCCTTCCTCCAACAGGAGACATAGCTGAGTAGGGCCTGGGCAGACTCGCAAGGCCGGGCCAGCTCAGCTAGCAGGCTCTATCAGAGTCCATGTCCTCCCTTTGTCACTGCAGGCGCCCCAGGCCGACCAGTTCTGGTCAGTGTCTCCGGCTTGGACAGGATGCCCTGGTCGTAGAAGGTGGTCACTTGAGGAGCTTCACAGAGAGACGGAGTTGAACATCACAGAGGAAGATGTTCATGAGGTCATGGCTCACTTCCTGTGCAATCTGGGCGATCAGGTGCCCCTTTGGACCAATCAGGAGTCTCTGACAGTGGAGCGAAAGAGAGGGGAAGGGGGGATGAGTCCACTCTCAGGACTTCCAAGGAGTAGGGGAGAGCCCTAGTACCTCCTCCAAGTAGCATGCCACTTACCACATGAGATTCTTTGGGCACCAGAAGCTTCTGTACGATTACTAGCTCTCCGCTTGGCCCTTCCTCCCACACCACTGTCTTCTGCATAAGTAGGTATTACTGATTAGTAAGGCACAGCCATTCTCTCTGGGAACCAGCTGCCCTGCTCTCTGCGCATATTTTCAGCAGAGAACCCCCAGATCCCGTCACTGTGCCTGTACCTGCTGAACATTGTAGGGCACCTCCTGGGGCAGGTGCTCCAGGAGCTTCTCTCGAATGATGTTGGCACAGATTTCCTCAGGTGTTTGGCTAGTGAGGACTCCACTGTGGAACTCCCAAGGCCCTGGCCGAGCCTGAGACAGGAGATATTGCTGTAGGCACAGAGGGTATGGATGAACATCTCAGCCCCAGAAGGAACTTTGCTACTCACTCTGACTTTCGGGAGGAACTGAGGTTTGTCTTTACATGATGGAAACCAAAGGCCAGTTATAGCCAAAGCTAACCAACCTTTAGTGTATTCACATCGTCCTGGCTTAGGGCTGACACCATGAAGATCTCCTGAAAGTGGGGCCAGCCAGTCCTCTGAGAGCCTCCTACAGACTGTGCACCTGGGCTCTTAGCCTGTGGGCTGGGACAATGGGTGCCTGAGTGTGAGCGGAAGGCTTCACTTATCTTGAGTTTCTTGCCATTGACCATACCTTCAGTAAGGGCTGCCGTGAGTTCCAAGAGAACTGATTTCTGTTTCAGGCAATCTACCTGGGCATAGGAGATACACAGAGGGTGTATGGTTAGTGAGATGAAAGGTCCCCACAAGAATGAAGATCCTTTCCTCAGGTGGTGCTCACCTTGTTCATAACAAGGATGCTAGGGACTTGGGAGAACTGGGTCAAGCACTGAAGCAGCTGAGAGTTGAGCTGGTTCCGAGTCCACTTGTCTGAGACATCCACAAGAACCACAACTGGAAGTTGGCAGGGTGAAGAGGAGTATAAGTATATGCTCCCAATCTCCCCCACCCCCCGCCAAATTTCCATGATTGAGCTCTGGCCAATCCCACCCCTAAGCTACCAGGAAAGAACCATAACAATGTAACGTGAGCTTCAGAGTCTCATCCTGAGCCTAACCCAGGTCAGCAGATTTCATGCTCTTCCATGGGTCTTCCAACAAAGAGAGCTCCAGGTGGTGCCTGGGGACAGACACACATAGGTCAGGAAAGATCTTTTAACTGATGCACTCCTGATAAGAGTTGGGGAATGGTAAGGGAGACTTCCAGCCCCTATCATGGAATCTCCCCAACCCTTCTTCCAACTATTTTCCCAGTAGTACCACCTGTTTCTACTACTGTTACCTTTTCTGTTTAATGGGGCTGATGAGGCCAGGTGTGTCAAGTAGAATCTAAAATCAGAAAAGAGAGATATCCAGGTCCCTAGAGGAAAGATTACACCTAGGGAATGAGAAAGGCCAGCCTTGATGTCAGGAACCTTTCCTGTTTCTCTTCTGCTTGCTTGACCACACTGACTTTAGATTTTTAACCTCCAATTTTGTTTTAATTGGAGGTGGAATCTAGAAAGAATATGACATGAATATATGGGGGATTAGCATGCAGCAGAGGGTATGAGGTCTTTCTGACTAGAAGCAGAGAGAGGAAAATAGGATTGCATGAGGCCTGAAAGAAACAGAGACCCTCTCCCTTCAAAAAAGTGAGAGTAAACAGTGTTTTCTTCAAGTCTAAAATAAGGGAAACCCTCTTAACTTCACTCCCTGCCCTGTTTCCTTTGTAAGTACCCACCACCTGGGCCTCTTTTTCTGTGATGACTCCCAGAGCTTGACAGCGGGTGGTGTGCACCTTCTTGGAGACAGGGAACACCTGCCACAAACAAAGAAGTCCCAGTGAGGTCTATATCCATCTAGGACAATCCCTGAAGGCACGATAAGTGAAAAATGAATAGGATTGGGAGTCAAGGGTGCGGCATACTTTTCGGCCCAGGAGCTGGTTGGAGAGCGTTGACTTCCCTGCATTTGGGGCACCCAGGAGGACCACACGCAGGACACGGGGGTTCTCAGGCATGTCAGGGGGATGGACCAAGAGGAGCTCCTGCTCATCTTGGGGTGCAGGGATGAGGTGGGAAAAATGGAAATATTAATGGCACCTAGTTATAATCTCTTAAGACAATATAATCTTTTGACAATTACCAGTTACGTAAAAGCAGTACAACATCTGGGAGTTAATACACTCAGTTCCTGTGTGTAATTTTACAGTGTAGTTGTGCCTGTGTAAAAGTACGGCTAGACCAAATAAAGCCTGATATTCCTCCAGTTCTATTTAGCCCTAGTAAGGTTATTATGAAAGCTCTGCGAGTTTACAGTCTTTTGTATTACCTCTTTATGCCACCACATTTAAGTATCAGTTCATATGTACAGTCTCCCTACCAGACTCTACGTAGTCCTTGCTACTTGAAGAATACTGACTGCCATTTCCCAGATGGAACTGCCAGACAGACGTATCTGGATCCTTTACCTCTGTGCACCGACACCGCCGGGATGCGAGGAGTCAACGCACTGTCGGGCTGAGAGAGTCCGAGAATGGTGTCCAGGGCTGAGTTTGGACCAAAATGGCGAGAGGATGCTGCCAGGAGTGGGCTAGAGAAAGCGGTGCCCGCGCCACAGGACACGTACCTCCACTGACAGCGCAAGAGGGAGGGGACACAGGTGATCCCTTCCCTCGCGGCATCGGGGCCCAGCTGACAGAACCCTAACACCTTCCTAAGGAGCGCAGCGCCGCGTCGGCTGGGGGCAGCCATTACAGCCGCAAGGCACTCCGGGAACGCATCTACGATTGGACAGGGCGGGGGTAAAGAAAGCGCGCCGGAGAGAGCTAGACAGGCCCTGGCCGAGAGCAGAGACCCACGGGATGCTGGAGGTGGGGTTGAGACATAACTGCCAGGAGACTGGTGTAGGCTAAGGAAAGGGCGAGACGTATATCTAGAGTTTGTGTGAGAGTGACAGTCGTTGTAGACTGCTGTAAACATCGTGTTTTCCTCTAACAAAGTTTTGTAAAACGCCCATCTAGCCCTGCTTCTTGGAAGACTATGTCTTCTGCGAGGCCAAGGGACAGTGATCACTGGAGCGCTCCACTTCCCCCGCTCGAGCACATCCTCCTCCCCCCCAGGCCCTACCCCCCAAACTCTGCGCGGAGTACTTGGGACTGGTCTGCAGTCCCCGGAAGGGTATTTATTTTCTTAATAGCACAGACGCACTTACTTACTAATCGAAGTGATGCTCCTAGTGAAACCAATCTTTGAAATAGTTGTAAGTAAAATATTTGTGATACAGTAATAAATATAGTAATGGGGGGAAAGCGTTATGGAGATTTGCTTTTTGAAAAGAATTTGTTCATTCTCGCGGCTAATTGCTTTACAAAATGATGGCGTTTTTATTTTATATTTTCACAGACCCGAGTCCAGGTGACATTATCACACATTCTACCACTGATTGCCCTCTTTCCTTTTTGTTAGTATTCTCTCTTTGCCATCCCATTCTGGATGTTGAACCTATGCCTGTGCCCCATTCATAAATTTGCAGTATGAGTTTTTTCTGCCTTCAGTTCTGTTTTCTTTAAACTTCATTGGCAGGTTACACGAAATTGGTGTGTGTGTGTTTTTTTAATATGTATTTCTTTATGCATATAGAACCGGGATAGAGGCCAGAGGTGCAGGGGTGGTGAGAGGCTTCACCCTAGACAGAGTGGGGAGCAGAACAGGCAGATCAATGAAGCACACTGCTGAGGGATGCAGCAGGTGAGACAGGAGAGATCTGCTGTGCCATGTGGATCACCTTCAGGGCAGGGATTGAAGTCACACTGAAGCTGTTACAGGGCAACACTGAACCCTTCCTTCTCTAAATAGGTTCTACCATCTGCCACATTAAAACAAGACATAAGACCTTTAATGGAAAGGAACTTTAATACAATGAGTGTGCAATACAGAAAAGACAAAGAATATAGTTTCTAAATCAAACACCCGATGTTACCTGTCCCCTGTGGGTAAAAGTCTACCCAAAAGGGATTGGCCCAAAGCAAGGCCTGAAAGCCCGCCACAAGATTAAAGCACCTTCTGGAGGGGACCCATAGAAAAGGGTCAGAAATGGCCAGAGGAAAAGAGTAAAATGAAAATCAAGATAAACACTGCCATAGCAACCTCCCCACAGGTCTCTCACCCACATCTGTTTCAACCAGACCAGGACCAAAAAGCAAGTAGTTTCCTCACAGGTCTCGCTGCTCTATGTGCCTCCTTCAGGTCACCTTCTGGCCTTGATCCTGCTTCCTTCCTCCTCAGTCTCCTCTCCAGATTCCTCTCTTTGCTCAGCTCCATTCTCCTTCTGGGTGGGGCAGTGAACCTGGAACCTCCCCTTTTCCTGGGGACCCCCCAGTTACAAAGCGACTGCAGCTCCACACGCTTGCTTCTCAAGCCCTGGCACCACCAGGGAGGTCCCGAAACTGGCGTTTTCAGAGTGCTCATTTGTCAGTTTTTATGGCAAGGTTTTTGTCATCAAAAGTGATGACAGCCTGGCTTGGCCATTGCACCCGTTTTCTGCAGAGCCAGCCCCACTGTCTGTCCTATTTCTGTCAGGTTTTCATCAAAGCCTTTGCTGTCCACCAAGCACCATTTTCTTATCAGCTGCAGAATGGTGTCCGTCTGGGAGTGGGAGAACATACATAGAGCAGAGCTGAATCCACTGTGGTCCAGTGGCTTGTGGCTGCCCATAATGTCTCTTTAGCCTATTCCAACTTCAGGTTTGTAGGATCCTCTCCTAGTCCGAGCTGACTTGGCCCAATACTTTGCATCTTTATTTTCTAAGAGTTTCCTGTAAATAGTGTTCAGTGGTTGGATGTTCCAGAGCAGCAATTTACCAATTTCCCTCTAGTAAACTTTATTACTGTGGAGCCTCCCTCATGGCTCAGGGGTTAAAGTCTCAGCGCTATCACGCTATTGTCAGCTACTACAATATGAGATCTATTCCAAGTTAGGGAGCTAACACATATGGTGCAGCAGACCTCTCCTGACCCCCTCTCAGCTCCCTGCTCCCCTCAGCATTGTATTTCAGTAGCTCTGCCTGTTAAGCTCCCCACTCCCTCTCTGGTGAATCCTCTCACCCCCACACCTCTGGCCCACACCCCAGTTCTTATATACATAAACAAATATTAAAAAAAAAAAAGCCTAATTACTATGTCCTTTGTAATAGGGTGGTCCCTAGGAAAAGGGCAAATTCCAGGTTCCCTGTCCCACCCAGAAGGAAGGTGGAGCTGAGCAGAGAAAAGCCGGGAAAAGAAGGAATCTGAGGCAGAAGGAAGCAGGATAGAGAACCAGCAGGAAATCTGAGGAACCAAATGGAGCAAAGGGAGATATGTGAAGCAACTGTATTTATTTCTTGACCCTGGGCTGGTTGAAAGTGAAGTGGGTGAGAGACTGTGGGGAGGCTGACTATGGCAGTGTTTATATTGATTTTGATTTTGCTCTTTTCCTCCCAGACTTGTCTGGCCATTTCTGACCCTTTTCCATGGGTCCTGGTCAGAAGGTGCTTTAG